CTTAACCTCATCCTCAGTATTTTTTTTTTTTTTTTGCTGAGACCAAATCTTACTATGTAGCTCAGATTATAATCTTCCTGCTTCAGCCTCCTGAGGTGCTGTGATTACATAGGTTTAGACCATAAACCTTGGTTTGCCTAGATGACTTTTAATATGAAAACATTTAAACTGGAACATTTATAATACCCAGCACTTGGGAGGGTGAGAGGCAGGAAGACCACCAGTTGGAAGCCAGCCTGAGATACATAATAACATCCTGTCCCAAAAAAATAAGGACTAGAGAGATGGCTCAGTGGTTAAGAAAGAACACTGGTTGCTCTTGCAGAGGACCTGAGTTTGGTTTCCAGTACCCACATGGAGGCTAACAACTTCAGGTTCAGGGAATCTGAAACCCTTTTTCTGACTTCTTTGGGCATTGAACACATTAGTGTACTTACATACATGCAAGCAAAACTCTCATACACATAAAATAATATTTTTTTTGAGATAGGGACTCCCTGGCCTGGAGTGCACTATGTAGACCAGGCTGGCCTTGAACTCACACAGATCTGCCTGCTGAGTCCATAACCTGGGAACAGAGGACAATGTTTCCAAGGCAACAGACAAACAGCCAGCCAGAGTGACAGAGATGTGTTGAGAGTGTCCCAGCTCCTGAACAGTCCTGTCTCCATTTTACTCCCTTCCTTCAAACACCCTGGGCATCAGCAGTTTCTTCTCAGTGGTGTTAGCAGGCTTCCCACAGCTGGACTTGCTTATCTGGGTGTCTTAGCCACTTTTAGATTAACCATTATACTGGGTATTTGGACTAAAATATAGTTTTAAGTCTCTGTAGTATCAGCTTGTTTTCAGTGGTTTATGTTCCAGTCCAGAAATTAAATCTACACTTACCCCAAGACCTATGGCCCTACTCAAGAGAAAGAAAAACGCTTTTGCCCAAAAGTGGAGCAAGTTAAATGTCCATCAGCTAATAAGCGAACGAATTGTCAGGCAGTCATACAATGTACTTGGTAATGAAAAGGGAAAAAATTTTTCAGATAGGCAACATACAGATGAATTTCAAAACCTTGTACTGAGTGAAAGAAGAAACTGGAAAAGGCGAACTTCAGGGAAGGGAAGCAGATAAGCAATCGCCAAGAGTTGGGATTACAGGGTAGTCTGTTACGAAGGTAACTGATTACAAAGATGCAGCAAAATGAAATTTTTGTGTGTGTGAAAGAAGCACACATTTGACTGGTGATGGATACAGGATGGTATATGTTATCAAATACATAGAACAAGACAACCAAGAGGGATGGCTTTTACTGTACCTCAAAACTGACTTTAAAAATATTATTTTATTTAGTATTTTTATTTTATGTGTATGAGTGTATTGCTTTCAAGTATATGTGTACCTGTGTTGTACAATGCCTGAGGAGGTCAGAAGAGGGCATCAGATTCCCCTGGAACTGGAGTTACAGATGGCTGTTAGCTGCCATATGGGTGCTGGAAATTGAACCTGGGTCCTCTGCAAGAGCAGTCAATGCTCTTAACCCCCGAGCCATCTATCCACCCTCCACCTTGTTTTGTTTTGTTTTGTATTTTGAGACAGAATCTCATGTAGTCCAGGCAGGCCTTGAACATACTTTTTAGCTGAGGGTGAATTTGAACTTCTGATCTTTCTACCTCTGCCTTCTAAGCGCCAAGTTTATGTACCCAGTTTATGTGGTGCTGGGAATCAAACCCAGGCTTTCAATCCAGGGCTTTGTTCACTCTAGGCAAGCACTCTACTAACTGAGCTCCATTATCAGCCCTTCAAATATGACTTTAAGATTTGTTTTTTTATTTATTTTTTTAATGTATATGAGTGTTATGCCTGTTTCTACGTAAGTGCACCCATGTCATGCAGTGCCTTCAGAGGACAGAAGAGGGCATTGGATTCCTTGGAACTGGAGTTACAGGCAGTTGTTAGCTGCCATGTGGGTGCTGGGATTTGAACCCTGGTCTTCTGCAAGAGCCCATACTCTTAACTGCTGAGCCATCTCTCCAGCCCTATTTTTTATTTTTTAACTATGTGTATGTGTGTACATCTGAAGGAGGTGAGGTGGTATGTGTATGTGCAGGTGCTCATGGAAGACAGAAGAGGGTGTTGGATCCTCTGGAGCTGGAATTACAGACATTTGTGAGTTGCCTGATACGGATGTTAGGAATTGAACTCAGGTCATCTGCTTTTTAGCAAACATTCTTAACTGCCGAACCATCTCTTTAGCACCAAATCTGACTTTTTTTTTTGTCTTTTTGAGAAAGGGTCTCCTTGTAGCCCCAGCTGTCCCGGAACTCACTATGTTGACCAGGCTGGCCTCGAACTCACAAAGATCCGCCTGCCTCTGCCTCCCAAGTGCTGGGATTAAAGGTGTGCAACCACCACACCCGGCTTAAATCTGACTTTTAAAAAAGGCTCCCAGATCTACTTCCTCCTCTTTTCCATCCTTGCCCTGGTCTGAATTTCTAATTCTAGAGGGAAATGTAAACCTTTTATAGGGTCTGAGAATACTTGGCCGTCTTAGAATAGAGAAATAACATAGCAATTGGTACTTCTAAGAAAATGAATAACTAGAGCTTTCATATGGATGGGAGCAAAGAAGGGAAAACCCAGCCCTAAGAAAAGCTGCAGAGTTCCTCAACTAGGGTGTCAGAGAGAGCTTTGATCCATCCTCCACTCAAGCCTTGAGGCCACGCCCACACTGCTCAAGGCGATGGGCATGCAACAATGCCATCTAGTGAGGCTGTGGGGATACGCTGGAAGAGGAGGCAGAGGAAATTGGGAGGCCGATGATGAAGCAATTGGGAAGAGGCTGTTAATTCGGAGGGAATGATGAAGCAATTCAACGGGTGCAGTGAGCCGGGAGGTGCACAGCAAGGGGTGGGCAGAGGGGCTCCAGAATACAGAGCAGGGAACCTGGTAGATGTCCCTAGAACTGCAGACAAGGCCTTGTCAGAGGAAAGGAGGTACTAGAAACAGCGAAGAGAATATACTGTGGATGCAAATACGTTCAAACGTGTGTGTTGGGGTAGGGATGGGTGTAGGTGATTATATTTGGGAAGAAGAGCTCCAGGGCCCTATTGAGGGGCTCATGCAATGGGGAACCACAACTGTGATTTAGAGGTGAGTGGCTGTAAAATGGAACTCTATTGGAGGGTGTTAGCTTCAAAGCCTGTTAGGTTACTGTTGTTCAGCAATTCTGCTTCTAGAAATTTATCCTACTTGCATTGTATAAAAGGCTGTATTTCCAAGTATGTTCATGATGGCAGTTCGTAATAGCAAATATTGGTGCAAGACTGATGTCCAACAGTATGGATCAAGGATACCAAACTATCCTTTCCTGGAAATTCTGAATGGGGCTACCGATGCAGGAGAGCATAGGTGTAGACACACACCTGATGTCACCAGCTTAGAGGCAAAGGCCGAGGTGAGCTAGAGCCAATTCGTGGAAGGCAGGAGGAGTTTCTGGTGGTGCCAAAGGACAGGAGGAAGATTTTTATTAATCTCTGGATGGCCAGGAAAAAACCAAAATCAAGGATTTAAGGATCGGGGATGTGGCTCAGTGATAGCACCACTGCCTAGCGTTCCTGAGGCTCTGAGTTCCAGGCCGGCACCGCAAAAAAAGAAAAAATAGTAATGACGCTGCAACATAGGAAAGAGCTGGAAGACCCAGAGAGGGAAACTCAAGAAGTACTGACAGCCAAGTTGATGTAGTTTTCAAGGTCATCCTGGGGCTATGTAGACTGCAAGTCTGAGGCTAGCCTGGGCTATGTGAGACTCCTGTCTCAAAATAACAAAATAAAAATAAAATGTAAAAGTAAAATAAAAGAAAATATAATAATAAAACAAGGTGATGTGGCGGCCTGGAAGTCAGACACAGCCTCAGGAGAGCGGTACACCCCTGGTCTGGGGTGGCTTCCTTTGCTGGGGACAAAGGCAGGTAGACCTCAGTCAGAGAATGGAAGGGCCGGAATTTCCCCCTCTGGTCTTCTTTCAGCTCTGACATCTTACGCCTCAGGCGGGTCCCGCCCGGTTGCCTAGGAGACGAGCGCCCCTCCCGGCAGTGCGGTGTTCCCCAACGCCCCGCCCCTTCCCCGCAGGTGGCCGCTGATTGGCCCGTTTGAAATGCGCCGGGCGGGCGCTCACCTGCGCTCGCAGCGTCGCCGCCGGGCTCTTCTAAGCCGGTGTGTGAGTTCCCGCGGCCGCTCTTCGCGTCCCTCAATCCCCGCCGTCCCTGCTCGGGGTCGGAGCCCGGCGTCCCGCGCGCGTGGTTAGACAACATAGGGCCTGCGGCCATGAAGGCAGCGTGAGTACCGGGCCGCGGAGGGGACCTAGGGTGGCGAGGACGGGGGTCACTGCTCTCCTGGCGTCGCGGCCCGGTTGCCCCCTCAGCGGAGCCCTGACGTGCAGGCGGAACATCCAGGCCCCGGCCCTGTGCCCGTCGACCCTGCTGTGCCCGCGCCCGCCGGGAGAGACCGCTCCCAGCCAGAGCTTTCTGCAGCCACTCCGGGGTGGCCCGGTGGTCGTCCTGCCGACTCCCATTTTCCGCACCCTTTTCCCTTCCGTGAGGCCGGCTGTGCGTGTTGCAGATTTCCGGAGAATCGGGGTGGGCGCGTAGCGCACTTGGGGGGCCCGGGATTGCGGTCCGCCGCTCCCCGGCATCCGCGGGCATCCCGGAGCTCGGGGCCCCCTCCCAGCCCCTGGTGGCCTTGAGGTCAGGTCCCTTCTGCAGGTCAGTTACTTTGCGCTATCTTTGTCCCCAGGCCATCCCGCGGGCGGACACTATCTCCCACGCCCACATTCCACAGTAATTGCGTGACACGTTGGGAGGGCCGCGTCCGCCGTGGTTGTACGGGGACTTCTGCCGGAGGGTTGGCTGTGGGATCCTTCCTCCTAGTCCCTAACAAAAAGGGAACTTGTTTGAATGAGGCCCAAACCCAAAGCTTTATGTTTAAATACGTGTACCCCAACACCTACCCCAGTATTTCCTGCATAAGGACTCTTTGCTTCTATGAATATGTTGAGAAAAATATTTTAAACTACAGTCCCAACGATACTTTAATTTTAGTGTTAAATACTGCTCTAGCCTATAAATGGGAACGAAAAAGTAATATGCTAGAGAAAGGTTGAAATAAATCAGAATGTCTTTTTCTATTGTTGACTTAAAAGAGCAAGAAATTGGCAGTTTGGGACATATTTAGGGCATAAAGGATAGTATTTTTGAGCATTCAATGACCAGTTGTTACTTGACAGTACAGCAGATTATTTATTTTCTATCTTTGAGATCAAACCCAGAGTCTTGTGTTTGCTGGGCTCTACCACAGCCATAGCCTTTAATTATAAATCTTGATCAAAGAATGAATTCATGTGCCTTTTTGTAGTTTACTGAGGCTCATCTCTTGTCAGTTTTGTCTTGGTAATGACTGTTTACACAGAGTGTGCACCTCTTTAAAGTTAAGTGTGGTCAGTTATTTGTAGACATTGTCAATTTGTGACCATAAAATTGGCTCAAGAAAACATAGCAAACTATTTTAAATAAGGAACCAATAAAAACTAAGGGTTTAAGAATGTCTTGGTAGAGTGCTTGCTTAGTATGAGTAAGTCTCTGGATCTGATCTCCAGTAATACAAAAACAACAAAAACCAAATAAAAAGTCCCCTGAGGTACATTTGGTACCAAACATGTTATTTTTCCAATTAGATTTTTAATTACTTTTAGATTATTGCCACATTTCTCTAATACAGTTTATCCTTGTTATTTGTACAATTTTTAGAATTACTAAGAAATAATTTTATAAACCCCAGGAAGGTCACGTTTGTTTGAATTCTCTGTGAGGCTTTGTGTTAGTATTGAACTGAAATTTCTCTTATTTATGACCAGGAAAGCTAAGACGCCCAGGAAACCTGCAATAAAAAAAGGATCCCAGACTAACCTTAAGGACCCAGTTGGGGTAAGGTCCTTGTGGGTTTCTATGTGTATTCTTTATTTAGTTTGTTTCTGCTATTTGTATATTTATGGAAGGGGGAGGAAGAAGTGATGTGGAAGTTGAGTCAAAGAGCAAGCAGTTAGTCAAACTGATTTACCAAATCCTATAAAGTTAGTTCTGGCTGTGAAGGTTTGTTTCTCTATTGGTTAATTAGCCCAGTAAAAGGAAGTCTTTCATTGTTGACTACAAACCTCCTATCACAAATTATAATTTGAAAGTTGCTGAAAACTACCAGGTTCATGCTGTGCTCTTTGGGATGGAGCAGACTTTCTGCCTAGATAATAGTCCTCTCCCCCCCCCCGCATGTGGTAGTTGATGACACATTTCCCAAGAAGAACCCCCAAACTCCCAAGTTTCATAAAGACTGGTATAGAATAACTTGATTTAGTTAGTGCATCCTTATGATAAGAGTTGCTTTGCTCTGTGATGTTATACCATCACCCCACCTGCTATTGGAGAGGGTCTCTGGCTCTCATTTGCATCATGTACTGTGAGCATAGCTGGACATGTGTTCTCAAACTTTCTGTGCTACCTCTTAAGCTGACACTTTGCTCTTTTTTTTTTTTTTTTTTAAGACAGTCTCACAGAGAGCCCAGTCTGGATCTTGACCTTGTTACCTTCCATCCGCTTCTACCTCCTAAATGCTGGGATCATAGATGTGTGTCACCACACCACCACACACAGTTCACTAGCAGTTTGAAATGACATGTAATTACAAGGGTTCTAATAGTTTTTTTCCCCTGCCATTTAAAGAGATTGTTAGTACAGTTTTATTATTTGTGCACAATGCAACAGGAAGAGAAACTGTGTGGTTTAATACTTTTTAATGTAAATTTTGATTTAAAGCATTTTTGAATTTTACCATTTGAGTAGCATATTTTGATTTTCATGCCTCTCAGTTTTGTAGATCATTTGTGTGGAAGGAAAGACCAAATGTTTGTGGATAAATGAATGACAAGCTTAAATGGAAAATCAGGGAAGTTCATTGTATTTGAGGTAGCTCATGCCTGCAGTCCCAGCATTTAGGGAACTGAGACGGGAGGATTGCTAGGTCAGCCTAGGCTATAGAGTTAGACCCTGTCTCAAAAAAGCTAAACAAAACAAAACAAAAGGAAAATCAGGCAAAATGTCAGCCATGTTTAAACATCTTTCTGGTTTTCTAGGTGTACTGTAGGGTGCGCCCACTGAGCTTTCCTGATCAAGAGTACTGCATAGAAGTGATTAATAACACAACTGTGCAGCTCCATACTCCTGAGGGCTACCGGTTCAACAGAAATGGAGACTATAAGGAGGTAATTCCTACTGGAACCAAGTTTTTACTTGGTATGCTGTTTCCTGAATGGCCATTTGACTTTAACAACATTCATTTGTTAATCACTTTTTTAGAAAGACTTAATGCTTTAAGCACCTTATGTAGAGGTGTTTGATTTCCAGGATGTATGGTTGTACTTTGGGTATATTGGAATTGGAGAATTGCTTTCAGGGATTGATTTCTTATACTGGATTTACAACTTCATCTGTAGAGATTTGAGTAACATTTAATAATAAGCTTTATATTCTTTTTTCCTTGTGCTGGGGGTTGAACCTTGGGCATATAGGCAAGCATTCTGCCACCTGAGCTACATCCATAGCAGCATTACACATTTGTGACAACCTTTTATGAACTGCTTGTTTTTTTGTTTCCTTGTGTGGTTTTTTTTTTTTTTTTTTTTTTTTTTTTTTTTTTTTTTTTTTTTGGTCTTTTTGAGACAGGGTCTTCCTATAGCCTAGGTAGCCTGGAACTTGCTATGCAGACCAGCCTGGCCTCGAACTAACAGATCCGCTTGCCTCTGCCTCCCTAGTGCTGGGATTAAAGGCATTGTGCCACCATGTCCAGCTCAATATGTTTTTGTGTATGCTAGTCTCACCGTGTCCAGACAAGCTTCACTCTTGTGATCTTCCTGCCTCAGCCTCCTAAGTGCTGGAATTACAATTGTATATCCACTACCTGATGCTTGTTTCCTGTGTGCTGAGATTATAAGCATGATTCACCTGCCTTGGTGAATCAACTTTGCTACCAAAGTTGATCTCTTTGTCCTCACTATCTCTCAGCATCCTTCTCCTTCCTAAAGCACTCTTTTTTTCCCTCTCTACCTCCTGCTGTTCTGTCAGTAGCCATTCTTTGTTGACTTCTCCTGTTTAACTTCTAAATAAGATGGGCTATGTCCAGGGTTCTCTTTTCTCTATCTTCGTATTTTGAGACAGAATCTCACACTGTAGCCTGGCCTAGCCAAGAACATGCAGCAATCCTACCCCAGCCTCCTGAGTGCTAAGATTATAGGTGTGTGTCACCATGCCTGGGGGCTCTGGTTTCTACCTATACTTTACAGTGGATTTACTTATTTGTTTGTTTATTTTTGAGACAGGGCCTTATTATGTATAGTCTAGAACTCAAACTGTATGGCCCAGGCTGGCCTCTCAGAGGTCTACTTGCCTATGCCTCCTAAGTGCTAGGATTAAAGGCGTGCACCACCATGCCTGGCATCCTGGTAGTGGTTGTAAATGATCTGGAATGCTTATGTCAGATCAAAATCTTTTCTTAAGCTCTAAATTTCAATATCTAAACACTTGATATTTGCCATCTCAAATTTTACATGTTAAAAAAGAGCTCTTGGGACTGGAGAGATGGCTCAGCAGTTAGGAGCATTGGTTATTCTTGCAGAGGACCTGAGTTTGTTTCCCAGCACCAACATGATGACTAACAACTGTCCACAACTCCAGTTCCAGGGGATCTGATGCCCTCTTCTGGCCTTTGCGGGCATTGCATGTATGGATGCATTTACATACATGCAGGCAAAACACATAAAATAAAAATAAATTTTTAAAATGTTATCCCTTCGATAGCTCAGCTGGTAGAGTAGAGGACTATAGCTAACCCCCCAGTAGGAGTCATCCTTAGGTTGCTAGTCCAATTCCAGCTTGAAGGAGATACTATTTTCAGAACTGGAGAGATGGCTCAGTGGTTAAGAGCACTGGCTGCTCTTGCAGAGGACCTGGGTTCAATTCCTAGTACCCACATGGTAGCTGACAACCATCTGTGACTCCAGTTCCAGGGGAATACAATGCTCTTTTCTGATCTCCGTGGGCATTGCACGACACGGGTGTACTTACATACATGCAGGTAATACACTCATACAGATAAAAATAATAAAATGTTTTTCAAAAAGAAGTAAAAAAAATGTTTTAAAAGAGCTCTTGATCTCCCCTACTCCCTAAATTGCTTCCTCTTATCTTTTAAAGTGAGGATATCATGTTGTCTAATTGCTCAGTCAGTCCAGAGACCTGGAACCTGCTTTCCACTGGCCTCTGCTCATATTGAGGTCATTCATAGATATCCTGTCAGTTCTGCTGCAAAGTATATTTTAAGATTATCCTTTCATGTCTGTCTCCACTCCCATTAGCTTGTTCTGAGTCTGATTACTAATCACTGAAACCAATACCTCTCAAACTATGATAGTGTGGTGTTTTTATCTTGATGCAGGGCAATGAATACTTTAGCTTGTCCTAAATGGAACTAGACTTGCTTTGTAATCTGTCCATTGAGAAACATGCATGCAGTGTAGTCCAGGATGTAGCAATGTCAAATGGCAGCAAATGTTTCTAAATGTTAAGGAGACTGGTGACAACCAGTTCCCCGGTGTTGGTCTGCTGAATATGCCTTGAGTAGCACCCACAAGCCTTTGCTGCAGCCTGCCTAGACTGCTTGCTTCTATACAGGATCTTGTCTGATCATTTCCACAGAGCTGCCAGAATAATCTTAAAGCAGAAAGAGATCTTATCACTTCCTTTTTTAAACCTTTCAAGGAATAAAATCTTTAAAGGGACAGAATCCTGCTCAACCTGCCTCCCGGTTATCTCTTTTTCCATCCTTATCTTTTAGTGCTCATCCAGTCTTTTGAGATCTTGGATAAGCCAGAATCCCTCTGGCTTAGCCTGGACCTCTCTTTCCCTTGGAGCATGGATGGTTCGTCATCTTGATTTCAGCTTAAATTTTGCTGCTTCAGGGTGTTAAGACTACATAGCACTTCACTCTCCTCAGGTCTGCTATAACACTTATCACATTGATTTATTTGATGGTTGTGCATTGTTTAAGGATGAATGTATCTTCTCAGAAGTGCATCATTGGGTAGTTCTCATCATTTTGTGAACATGATAGAGTGTGCTTGCATAAACTAGATATAGCCTGCCATAGTAGACACTTGGGCTATACAGCCTACTGCTCTTAGAGTACAAACCTGTACTATGGGCTGCTGTACAGAATACTGTAAGCAATTGGACCATAGTGTGCATCTACACATATCTAGACTGATTTGTTTACACTAGTGTTGCCACACATTCCTGAGTAATATGCTGTATTTTTTTTTTCGAAACAGGATCCCCCTATAGTCCCAGCTATCCTGGAACTCCCTGTGTAGACCAAGTTGGCCTTGAACTCACAGAGAACCACCTGTCTCTGCGTCCAAGTGCTAGGATAAAGTCGTGCACCACCATGCCTAGCTCAATATGTTGTATTTTAAGACCAGTAAGCAATAGGTAGTCTGGGCGTGGTGGTGCATGCCTTTGATCTAGCACTCAGAGGCAGAGTCAGGCGGATCTCTGAGTTCAAGGCCAAGCCTGGTCTACACAGGGAATTCCAGGACAGCTGGGGCTACAGGGAGACCCTGTCTCAAAAAGACCAAAAAAAAGACAATAAGAATTTATTATTTTAATTTATCACTTCTATTTTAATCTTAGGGGACTATCATTGTTTTGTAGTCTCTTACTGCCTGAACATATGGTGCGTGTCTGTACTTGTTTACTGTCTCTTTCCTCTATTTTATGTAAACTTCAATGGTTATGTACCTTTTGGTCCTGTTTGTCAAACAAGTAATTTGGATTAAGTATGGATGCATGGTCTGGGAAATTTTGATGGTACAGCAAGTCTTTGAGGATACAATAAAAGTTGAACACTAACTTACTGAATTTCAAGTTTGTACAAATAACTTTAAAAAAAATATATTTTATTAATTTTATGTGTCTGAGTGTATTGCCTCCATGCGGGTAAGTGCACCCGTGTTGTGCAATGCCAGTGGAGGACAGAAGAGGCCGTTGGATCCCTTGGGACTGGAGTTACGGATAGTTGTTAGCTGCCATGTGGGTGCTGGGATTTGAACCCGGGTCTTCTGCAAGAACAACCAGTGTTCTTAACCGTGAGCCATCTCTCCAGCCCCTGTACAAATAACATTTAAAAAGTACATGTTAAAGTTTTGGTAGATTGAAAATTGTCACTGCCTTATGACAGAATGCAACACTGAGTACTTGAAAGAGCATTGCTCTGGAAATGTCTTTCCTGTTGTTCCAGGAGCTTGGATATGTACCTCAAGTTTTCTTTTCTCTGAAAGAAAGGAGTTCTTGACTCTTGAGGCCATCTGTTCTGGCTGGCAATGCCCTGCACATCTTTTTCATTCCATGATTCTTTGTTCTGATAGTACATTAGAATGAAAATGTCCACGAAGATAAGTTAGCCTAGCTGAAGAAGTGTGTTGTCTTCAACAAGTTGTTTAATCTGATTTCTCATTTATAAAATAATGGTATCTGCAAGCTCACATCCATAGGTTCAGCTAACTGTGAACTGAAAATCTTTGTAAAAACTAGGCATCTGTACTCAACACAGACTTCTCTGTGTCATTCCCTAAACACTACAATACAGCAACTATTGGCATAGTATTTGTATTGTATTAAGTATCATAGTAGCCTAGGGAGGACTTAAAGTTATGAAATGGCCAATATACCTTTTTTTTTTTTTTTTTGGTGGACTTGAGTATCTTTAGGTTTTGGTTTCAATGGGGAGCTTTGGAACAAATTTCCCACTGGTGTGGCGGCATATGCCTGTAATTCCAGCCTCATCAGAAATCCAGACCCTGTCTAAAAAAATAGCAATATATATGTATATATTCCAATCACATTTTTCAAGTATGAATTTGGTAATATTTCTGTTAATGATTATACTTTTAATCATATTTTGAATATTTGGTAATAATAGTTTCTTAAAAGTTGTAACTTAACATTTTATATAAGAACTTAAAGATAATATTTCCAATTCATTTCTGCTTTTAAAACACTGTACATTTGATAATTTTTTCAAAGGCAGTGAGATTTTAAAATATATTTTATTTGCTTTTATTTTATATGTATAAGTGTTTTACCTTAATGATGTGAGTATACCACATTGACTGCAGTGCCCATGGAGGGCACGGATCCCATGGAACTGAAGTTTCATGTGGGTGTTAGAAACCAAACCTGGATCCTCTGCAAGAGCAAGTGGTCTGAACTGCTGAACCATCTCTCCAGCCCCTGCTTTTGAAATTTTGCTATGCTATTTAAAATGTCTTTTTACATTTAGTGTGTGTGTGTGTATGCATGCACACGCGCACACATAGGTATGATGTGGAGGTCAGAGAACAACTTACGAGACTCACCTCTCTCCTTACATCATGTGGGTTCAGGGGATTAAACTGAGGTTCTCAGGCTTGGTGGCAAGCTCCTTTACCTACTGAGCCATCTCACTGGCCCTTGCGATATGATTTTAAGTGCCACCTTCATAAAGAAAAAGTAGAAAGCGGTGGGCAGGTGTGGTGGCCCATGCTTGTGATCGTAGCACTGGGGAGGCAGAGGCAGTAGGATTGCCACAAATTTGAGGCCAGCCTAGTCTGTGTTCCAAGTTCCAGGGCAGAGAGACCCTATCTCGTACAAACACTCCCTCAAAATAGAAAGCCATAAAATAGAGTATGTACTAATGCCCAAAATGTTTCACAAATCTAAGAGTCATTACAAAACCTTTTGTTTTCTTTGCTTCACTCTATGGCCAGTCTGGCCTAGGATTCAGCCTGCTGAGTGCTCAGTCTGCTTCCGAGGCTCACTATAATACCTTTTGTTTTATGTATTTTTTTATTTATTAAGGTCAGTTAAAACAGAATCAGTTTAAGTCTGTGAAGCATTCATGAACTTACCTACTTCTACATTTTCTCAGTAGCTGGTACTGAAAATATTTACTGGTCATATTTTCTGTATTTATGTTCTACTAAAGGGTCCAAGCTTTAAAGATACTCCTGTCTAGACTTGAAACATTGTAAGTGTAAACAGATTATTTCTAGCCTAGATACAGTGGAATTTCAGTGTTTTTTTTCTTCTTCCCACAGACTCAGTACTCATTTAAGCAAGTTTTTGGCACTCATACCACCCAGAAGGAACTTTTTGATGTTGTGGCAAATCCCTTGGTAGATGACCTCATTCATGGCAAGAATGGTAGGATTCTTGGAATTTGATTGGATTCTTTAATCTTATGATAAAACTTTTTTAATTTATATATTTAGTTTGTTTGACATTGAATTCAAATTTAATTCAGTAGAGTGATGTTAAACCTGCCCTTTTGAGCTAGTTAATCTTAGTGTTTTTAATACAGTGAAGAAATGTTATGCAGGACTTAAACATATAACTCATTGTCACTTGCTACACTGTAGGTCTTCTGTTTACTTATGGTGTGACAGGAAGTGGGAAAACTCACACAATGACAGGTTCTCCAGGGGATGGAGGACTGCTTCCTCGATGTTTGAACATGATCTTCAACAGCATAGGGTCATTTCAAGCTAAACGATATGTGAGTACAGTTCTTTTGGGTTGTGACTGTTTCCCTTTAGACACAGGACTGAGACACCTACGGGTATAGCCATACTGAGGAAGGACCAAAGTATTGGCACTATTTTGAATCTTATTTTTGTTCAAATGTGCTGAGCATGGCGGATGTGTGTCTGTAATATCAGCACTTAGGGAGTAGAAGCAGGGGTTGGAAGCCAGGGAATTGAGAGTACTGGGCCGGCATGTCCCTCAAAGTTTAAATGTTAAAGTGTTTCTTATTTCTTAAATTGTTTCTTGTTCAAGTGAAATTTTTTTCAAACACATGTGCGCGCGCGCGCACACACACACACACACAAAAATAGAGCCTGACTTTTTTCATCTATTTCAGGTTTTTAAATCTAATGATAGAAATAGTATGGATATACAGTGTGAAGTTGATGCCTTATTGGAACGTCAGAAAAGAGAAACCATGCCCATTCCAAAGACCCCTTCTAGCAAGTAAGTTATTTCATCTGTGTAGCACTGACCCAGGGTGGACAGAATTCTGTCCTGTGGTTTCTGTAGGCTTGTGGAATGGTGAACATGAAGTAGACAAGCAGGTCTGATGGTTGACTGCTGTGAGGTCAGAGTTGAGGTGTGCTCTCAAGTTAACAATTGCTCAGGTGTTCTGTCTGGTTTTGAGCACAGCTGAGTCAGTTTTGAGATGATGCCTTTCTGTAGCGGAGGTGAGTACCTATGCTGTGACTCTAGATGGTTCTGGATTGTCCTTGTGTGCCCACCCCCCACCCCAGTCTCAGTGAAGTTGCTTTATGCATTTTTGCTTTAATGGAAGCTCATCGTTACTAGTTTCTGTTCACTTTGGTATTTATTTTTTATATTGACTCGATGGGTGAAAATCTGACTTGGGGATTTGTTTTGTGTTTTAGACGACAAGTAGACCCAGAGTTTGCAGATATGATAAATGTACAAGAGTTCTGCAAAGCAGAAGAAGTTGATGAAGATAGTGTCTATGGCATTTTTGTCTCTTATATTGAAATATATAATAATTATATCTATGATCTATTGGAAGAAGTACAGTTTGATCCCATAAAACCCAAGTAAGTAGTGAAGAGAACTGCTTCTTAGTTGCTATCCCTGGGGAAGTTACCCCAGGGAGCCTTTGTTTCTGTGGGTGTAAGTGGGGATAATGCTTACTGGTTTTCAGGATGTGCTGAAATAACTGCCATGTAGTTAGTGCTCAAGAGTACTAACTCTTATTGGCTAGATAGTAGCAGTAATAGGAAAGTGATAGGTAGATTAAGGCATACCAGAGTGGCCCGAAGATCCATTTTAGAGATTAGTTTTGGAAAATTTGGCTTTAGGTTGTTTGAGACAAATCTTCATTTTATAAAGAGCGCTGGGCACCTTTGAATGCCTTGACAGTGCTGAGAGTTTTACAACTTGGGTAAACTTGTAACTCCTGTGTCTTGGTGATCTCTACAGGATGGATCTTTGCCTGTATAAGTAATTCTTAGCCCATCCATTTCTAATAAATGTAAAGCCATATTGCATTGTCATCCTGAGATAGATAGCCTTGGGTCTCACCTTGTTAAGTCTGAAGACCAGTTACCATCTGGCTTCACAAATAGTACCTCTGTGTCTATACTAGAGCTGCTTTACAAATCTTACCTCTGATAATTTGTGCATTGTTCCTGAGTGGATGGTTTTCTTTACCTAAAGACTGATCTTGTGTGCTTTGTTCATTGGGACCACTTAGGACATAAATAGTAGGAAAACCTGTGTCTTATAAATAACTTTTTATAAATGTCTAATGGGATATTACTGGGGAAATAGTAAAAATTTGTGAATTCTAATTGAGGTCATACATGATACA